ATTCAAAAACTCACTTTTCATTGACTTTACAAAAGAAAAAAAAATTATCTTTGATTTTACTCCAAAAAAAAGTCAATTTTTCTCTTGATTTTTGACTTAGACTTCTGCTTTTGACAAATAAGTGATAAATAAGTTTTCGCAAGTTAAATAACAAAAATGTTTGTAAAAAACATAATTTAAAACAAAGTAATTTTTAACAAGAACTACCATTATTTAATTAATAAATTAGTTGTCAAAGTGACATAGTTGTCAAATAAATAAAAGCGCTAATGTGATAGGACTTAAAAATCAGAGAAAAAGTCCAAAATCAAAAGCAAAACTAACTTTTTTTCACTGAATCAGAATAATGAAGTTTGAATTACAGATTTGCTCGTTTCAGGTGAAGCGAAAAATGTTTCTCTGCAGTTTTAACGTAAAATGAAAGATAAAAAAAATTTCCTCTTGTAGACTCAATCCCGGGACATACTGTATATTTAATATTTTGGTGTTGTTATTTCGACAATTAAAAAATCTATTGAATTTTAAATCAAGTTGAAAATTGTGTATTTAAAAAAAAATTGACCTGTTCAAGCATTTTTGTCAAAACAAAATATTATCAGTTTTAATAAGACTATTCCATAATTTTACCGCTCATCTAAGGATTACAACTTTATATGTTTTATTCACATTTTATCGATAAAAAATTTCATATAAGTTACCATTTAAAAACAATTGCAAAACTCAAAAACAGAGCACTTTAATTTTTATTATGATTTTCTAAAGGTAAATATTAAAAAAAAGCTTGGTTCCATAAGTACTTTTTGTTCACCTTATATATAATAAACAAATAAATTTATTGAAATAGAGGAAATTTTTTTATCTTTCATTTTACGCCAAAACTGCAAAGGAGAAACATGTTTCTTTTCACTTGAAACGAGCAAATCTGTAATTAAAACTTTATTATTCTGATTCAGTGAAAAGAAAAGTTATTTTTTTTTGATTTTGGACTTTATCTCTGCTTTTTAAATCCTATCACATTGGCGGTTTTATTTATTTCACAACTATATGTCACTTTGACAATTAATTTATTAATTAAATAATGATAGTTTTTGTTAAAAAAGACTTTGTTTTTTATCTTAAAGCTGTTTCTTTGAGTTGCTATTTATCAAAATTATGTTTCTCCCAAACATTTTTTTTAATTAACTTGCGAAAAAAACTTATTTGTCAAAGTGACATTATTGTCAAAAAAAATAAAACCGCCAATGTGATAGGATTTAAAAAGCAGAAATTATTCTAAGTCCAAAATCAAGAGAAAAATGAAGTTCTTTCTACTGAGTTTGAATCTGAATCTCTGAAATAAGAGAAATTCATGGATGGTAAAATTCTGTTTGTTTAGATTATTTCCATTTTATGACTAAAGGGATGGACCAGGCACCCCGTAGAGAAGGACGAATGATTGACAACTGTCACAAAATGCAGGTCTAAAAAAATTATGCAACTTTCAGTAACCAAATCTGAACAGTTCATTCGGCGCCCTAGAGCCTTAAATTTGGCTACCAGTGGAAAAAATAGTATTCGCCACGGTGGCGAAGACGTTTATAGCCCTCGCACCTTATTCCGCTCGGGGCAAAACCTCTCGCGAAATAATCTTGGTGCTCGGTCAATAATAATCTAGTCTTTACCACCTTGGGGTATAACATACTATTATATTAATGTATTCACCGCTGTCATGATAACCTTTTACAAATGAATGATTATTTATTAATTCAGTAAGTAACGAAATTTATTTACTTTATTTATTATGTTATTAAAGCTATTAACAGAATTTTTAATTTTTTACATGATTTGTTGGGTACATATTTATAATTAAATTATCTTCACTTGCAAATGGAGATTGTCTATCTGCATGGAACAAATTTACTTGTCTCATTATTTCTGTAGTAGAAGTACTTCGTAAGAGCTAACTTGTACTTGTGACATATTATCGTTGAAAAGGAACATATTGGGACCATAGTACGAAACAATTTTCCCGATTTTATATTCTCCATTGTATTTTAATCTTCCGATGTATAGTATTCCTTGATAATCTTGTCCAGTTGCATATTCATACCCACCAGTCACCGCAATATGATTAACGAGCAGTGAAGAAAGGCTAGAACCATTCGTTGGCATCCAATATAAGTTTTGTTGAGTTCCACAGAGTATCTAGAAAACAGGTAATTTTTAAGTATCAATAGAAGATCTTGCTGTTCTCTATTTAGTTACTTTTATATTTTTGTCTATCTTTTGGATCCCATCCATCGGAATGTAGACTTCTGTCACGCCGGAAAAAATTTCACCAGTTATGAGACCTGATTTATTTACGTATGCTTGCCCAATGTAAATGTTTTTATTCTTAATATTTTGTCCTGCTACTATAGCATCTCTGGGCACTTCTCCACCAATGAAATCTCGCCAATAATAGTCTAAAATTTTAACAAAATGTAAAATTTACTTAATCTAGAAATTATTTAAGAATCATACCATATTGAAGACACAGACATTGTTGGCTATTACTTAAGAGAAAAACGAACAGAAGATAGATAAACGAAAACATTTTGCAGTCACATATAGAAGTAACTACTAAATTGGCTTGTAGGTAATTGCCTTTATATATTCAGAAAATACGTGCACGATAATAGTTCGTTATCTTAAACACAAATGTCGAAACCTATTGTGTATTTCCATAATTTTGACAATAATATCTTATAAAATATGATATTATTATTTTATGAATAAAAAGTGCAACAACCTTAGCAAGAACAAAGACGTTGTGGTGCCCTCATACTTATCTCAACTTATCTCAATTTTTAGTCAAGTGGCAAACGTTATTTATGAATAAAACTGTTAAGAAATCTAATAATCTAATATCTAATAATCTAATAATCAAATAATCTAATAATTTAAATCTAATTTTTGTACTGAATGATTTAATACTAGTTTTTCTGTACAATGAGAATTTAGGAATTATTCAGTTACTAAAACTACTTTTTTTAAAAATATAACTAAACAGTAATAGCTTTATTAATTTCTAATCAATATGACCTGATTTTAAAATTAAGTTGGCAACATTAAATTAATGGTGGTATTAGACTGTGTCCTCGGAAATAAATGACAATTGACTATAACAATGTGATGTTTAAATTTGATAGTTAACGTTGCCAACTTATTTTCAAAGTTATAATTAATTTATTTATTAATTTATTTTTATAACATACAGGGTGGCCGTTTTTCGAGCTCTACCATGAGGATCTCATCAGTTCTTATAAGAGATAAGAGGTCGGTTAAATTCAAAAAAAAAATTAAGTTCAAAGTTGCGCATTTTTACGCTGAACAATTATCTGAAAGAAAATTTAATGTGTCATTCTTAGTTTTTGAATTATTGTTTTTTTTAAACGGGAACTAAAAGACGTACATGTTTTTAACTAGGACTGTTAAGACACTTTTTTACAAGGAATCTAAATCTGTCATCACATTTTCCAAGGCGCTCTTGATGTCAGAGTTACAACACTCAACTTTCGATTTTCTTATAGACGCCATATTCGATTTCTGTATTTTAAAAAAGTCTTTTTATTCCTTATTACAACGATGTATCACACGATATGATCAAATTTTACATGCTGATCAAAATTAAGAAAAGGCGTTTTTGCGAAGAATGCTTTGGAAAAAACGCCATCAATTTTAATTAAAAAATTAAATTGTGACAGTTCAATAGGATTTGGATCTGGAAGTCACATTTCCGTCAAGCTTACCTACTTAAAAACAAAGGTTTTGAAATAGGAACCACGTGATAAACTCGAATTTATCTTTGCAAAACAAAACAACACAAAGTTATAAAACATACTCGAATGCACCACCTTCCACTGTTTTAAAATTTAGTTTGTTAATTAAAATTGTTGGCGTTTTTTTTAAGCACTGTTTGCAAAAATGCATTTTCTTAATTTTGAACAGCATGTAAAATTTAATCACATCGTGTCATACATCGTTGTAATCAGGAACAAAAAGACTTTTCGAAAATACAGAAATCAAATATGGTGTCATAAGAAAGTCTAAAATTAAGTGTTGTAACTCTGACATCAATAACGCCTTGGAAAATACGATAACAGATTTAGATTTCGTTAGTTTTTGCTCAAAAAAAAACGAAAATTACAAATTTCCGTTTTTTTCAATAATTAAAAAACTAAAAAAGACACATTAAATTTCTATTTAGACAATTGTTTAGCATAAAAATGCGCAACTCTGCCCTAATTTACCCGACCTCGTATCCCTTATAATAACTGAGATCCCCATGGTAGAGATCGAAAAACAGACACCCTGTATTTTTCCTGTAAATTTACAGTTTACAGTGACAATTTATTTCAGAATGGAGATAAAATACGACCTCCCATACGATCTCCTTTCAAAGACAATTTTTGCTTATGACAGTTTTTATTGGCAATTAACAATGTGATGTTTTTTAAAATCAAATCACTTTGATCAAAAATTAAAAAAACTATTAGTGTTTAGTTACATTTTTTGAAAAACAGTTTTACTAATTGAACAATCCTGTAGATTTTCATTAAAGATATAGAAAAATTAGTTTCAAAACATTCAGTGAAAAAATTAAAATGAATAAATAAACAACAAAATAAGGATACCAAAAAATTTAAACACAACAGTTTGTAGATGAATGAATCAGATTTGTTTTGAAATCAATATCTACCTACCTACTCAAAAAATATCACTTTAGATTTCTTAACAGTTCTATTCATAAATAACGTTTGCCACTTAACTATAAATTGATATAAGTTGAGATAAGTAGGAAGGCACCACAACGTCTTTGTTCTTGCTAGGTTGTTGCACTTTTTATTCATAAAAAAATAAAATCATATTTTATAAGATATTATTGTCAAAATTATGGAAAAACACTTTGTTTCGACATTTGTGTTTAAGATAACGAACTATTCTCGTGCACGTATTTTCTGAGTATATAAAGACAATTACCTACAAGCCAATTTAGTAGTTACTTCTATATTTGACTGCAAAATGTTTTCGTTTATCTATCTTCTGTTCGTTTTTCTCTTAAGTAATAGCCAACAATGTCTGTGTCTTCAATATGGTATGATTCTTAAATAATTTCTAGATTAAGTAAATTTGACATTTTGTTAAAATTTTAGACTATTATTGGCGAGATTTCATTGGTGGAGAAGTGCCCAGAGATGCTATAGTAGCAGGACAAAATATTAAGAATAAAAACATTTACATTGGGCAAGCATACGCAAATGAAGCGGGTCTCATAACTGGTGAAATTTTTTCCGGCGTGAAAGAAGTTTACATTCCGTTGGATGGGATCCAAAAGATAGAAAAAAACATAAAAGTAACTAAATAGAGAACATCAAGATCATCTAAGGCTACTTAAAAATTACCTGTTTTCTAGATACTCTGTGGAACTGAACAAAACTTATATTGGATGCCAACAAATGCTTCTAGCCTTTCCTCACTGCTCGTTGATCATGTTGCTGTGACGGGTGGGTATGAATATTCAACTTGGGCAAATTATCAAGGAATACTATACATCGGAAGATTAAAATACAATGGAGAATATAAAATCGGAAAAATTGTTTCGTACTACGGTCCCAATATGTTCCTTTTCAACGATAATATGTCACAAGTACAAGTTAGCTCTTACGAAGTACTTCTATTACAGAAATAATGAGACGAGTAAATTTGTTGCAAGCAGACACAAAATCTCCACTTGCAAGTGAAGATAATTTAATTATAAATATGTACCTAACAAATCACGTAGAAAATTAAAAATATTGTATTAATATCTTTAAAAATATTATAAATAATGTAACAAATTTTGAATTTGAATTAAATAATAATCATTCATTTGTGAAAGGTTGTCATGAACCTAGACACCCGTTAATATCTATTCTTAATTATCTATTAATCTTAATATAAAAGCTTATTTAGTTTTTTGACCATTCTTATAGTCTAGTGCAAAGTTTTGTGAAAAATTAAGACATCAAACTTTTTTTTTAATGGTTCTAACTTACAAAGTGGTATAAAATACAGATTATTATTACTTACAATAGTTACAATTATTACTTCAATTTACATAAATATATGTATTTAATACAAAAATAAAGTGCATACATACATATTACGTATGTAATAGTCTAAGACCCCGTGGTCGCCAGACCTTCGGCATTTTAAAAAGTTGAAAATTTGTCAGCGCATACTTCCAACACAGGTAGGAACGATTTACAACTATGAAGTTTGCGTCATCATGGCTTTGGCAGGTGAGAAGTAGCAAAGAAAAAAACAGAAAGCAGCATTGATTGAACATCTATCCCCAACAGTATTGTCATATCTTTAAAACTAATGGAGTTATGGCTTGGGGCGTTTTTCATAATCCAGCCTGTATGTAAATAGGAAATAATAAAGGTTCTCAAATCCAATTTGATTTTTTGCTTAATAAAACGAAAATTTTGAATTCACTACTTTTATTTATTAGGTACATACTGTAATAAAATTTTAGATTTAGTATTTGTTTGGTATTAGAAATATGTGTAGCATATTTTCCAAACAATTAGTCAGTTATAAAGTGTAAAAATTCATTGTATAAACGTTATGATGTGTCGGTGTTTTATTTAAAATAACCGCCAAAAATAGACCAATGAGAGGTACGCCCAGATAAATGGATCAAAAGTGGAAACAAAGTGTTTGTTTTGTTGCTATAGGAATGTTGACTTCAAAGCGTATATAAAGGAGAACGGGCCGCCACACCGGCAGATTCACTTGAGTCTCCTTCCGGACATCTTCGGACGAAATCACCAGGACCTCTCTTGGTGGAATAACTTCAGGACGGCTTCTGAAGGATTGTACTCTTTGGACATCTTCAAAGAATACGGTCGACGGGACCTTCTTCCGTCGTTAAACCACACCTGCCTCAGGACAGTTTCTGGGAGCCGAGTTCACCTCTGAACACGGGCCACGGGATCCCTTCCGTGGTAAGGGCTTAACATCTGGGACAGTTTCCAGGTGGGATAATTTCCTGGACCTCTTCAGGAAAAGCAACCGACGGGACTTCTCCCCTCAAATTCACCCACGGAGGACGTCTTCTCCAAGGGCTAGGGTTCACTAGGTCCAAGCTAGATTTTGTTTTGTAAAGTTTGTTATTTTATCTGTTGTTATTGTTGTTATAGTTACTAAATAAATTTCTCTTTTCAATCACCTGTGTTTAATTCAATCGAACCTCCCCATTCCTCTCCACTGTATAAAAGCTGGCCGGAAAGGCATTCTTATGTAGTGTAAACCTGGAGAACATCTCCAAACAGTTCTTTTCCAACTTTTAGGAAAAAGTTGGTGGCGCCCGGTTTAAATAAGTAAAATAGTAAATAAAAGAAAACACATTACAATACATACGAGTAGGAACCGTAAATACTGATCTTCCCTCGTACTTTCGAAATTATCACTTTTCAATCACTTTTTTCTCTAATTTTATCTTGTAACCTGATATTGGTTTGGCCACAACACTAATGATCATTTCAATATCTTCCAATTTTTTATATTCAGAAGGTTTTATGGTGTACTTTCTTAAAATTGTCGACAACAGAACTTTCACTGACATTATGCCGTACTTGTAACCTGTAAGGTTAAAATTTATTTAGAATTGCAAAAACGAAACATATTCCATTTAATACAAACCCACGCAATTTCTGGGCCCTGAACTAAAAGGAATAAAAGTGTAACGATGTCGATTCGTATTATTTTCTGGTAAAAATCGATCAGGATCGAATTTATTTGGTTCTTTCCAAAATTCAGATTTTCTGCTAATGTGATATATCGGAATCAAGACAATACTTCCAGTAGGGATTACGTAAGAATCTACAAATAGTGTTATAGTTTTATATCAGGGTCAGCTGCTCTTAAAATAATTGGTACAGGCGAAAGTAATCTTAAAGTCTCTTTAATAACTCGTTCTAAGTAATTCATTTTGTTAATGTCTTCTAAAGTTGGCTCTCTGTCATCGCTTCCAAAAATCAATTCAAGTTCTTTAGTAATTTTTACCTTAAAATTATTACTGATGTATATATTTCTGGATATATCCCTAAAGTTATTAAAGTGATTCCAACTGTAAGAGCTGTAGTTTCGCTGGCTGTAAGTAGAATAGTTTACAGAGTTTCGTCTTCTAAAGCTGTCTTGTCTATTTCTGTATTTTTTAACAAATGGTTTAAAAAACGTTTTTCTTTGGTGTCAAAAACCACAAAAAATAAAAATATCACGTTGTAAAAAATTTTCATACCTGGTATCATTGGATTTTGGTTTAAACTTGATTTTTTTAAATTTTACCACCTGAAAATGCTACAATTATTTTTATTTTCTGGGAGTTAAAGATTACTTGTTTTGCAATAGAAAACACTTCTTTGCACATTTTGTCCATTTCTCTACCCAGCGAAGATCTATTCCATAGAAAATCTGTATAAAACCAAATAGAACATGCACGAATCGTTAGAAGATCTTCTACTCTAAGAAAAAACATTTCTAGACAAAATTAATATACAGGGCGATTCAGATAAGATAATGAGCCTGACGATCTGGCGATGCAACCCAAAAAACAAATTTCATTTACGCCTTTGATCCAATTTCAATTAGCATTTGCAAGTTGAATCCAAGTTATCATCTTGTGTCACTTTGACATCAGTGCAGAGAACGATTATTAGTGCCATTCAGTTCTCGAGGAATGATAGAGAAATTAGGGAAGTCTTTTCGGTGTAAACCCAATACAAAATGTATGAAAGAATTAAAGGTAGGCAAATAGTTTTTTTTATAAATCATAAATTGCTTGTCAAAGCACTGTCAGAGCAACATAAGATAACTTGGATTGCAAATGCAAATCGTAATTAAAATTAGATCAAAACGTAAACGAAATTTGTTTTTTGGGTTGCATCGCCAGATCGTCAGGCTCATTATCTTATCTGAATCGCCCTGTATAGATTACCTTAATAAATTTCGAAAAAAACGTTTCTTGGCCATGAAACATAGTGTTATCAATGTCAGCGAGCGTTTCTAAATCAATAGATCGTTTTAACACAAAAATAGTTAGCAAAACGCTTACCACAAGCAATATCAAACGTGCAGCTAAACAAGTATGATAAGATATCAAACGATTCTTTTCCACAGTTTACTTCAAGAGCATTTGCCAATTGAGTTGCATGTCTTCCAAAAATTTCCATAAACGAATTTAAATTTTTTGGATTAAAAATCGGATTAATCATTTTCCTTCTGCTCTTCCAAATATCAACTTTAACAGAAAACTGTCATTCCATTTTAATAGTTTTTTCATACTGACCTGGTGCTGCAAGAAGTCCATTTCAAAGTGATAAATTTTCGGTTTTTCGAGACAATTATTTAAAATAATTTCAACATCTTCAGGTCGTGAAACTGACACTATCAAATTGTTACCGAACCAAATTTTTGCAACTGATGGATATGATTCTAAGAGTTTTGTCACAGTTTTAAAGAAAACTGAAAAACAAGTTGCGATTTAATTAATTTTATATTTTCTGTAACTTTTTGACCTCCGATGAAATAATGGGCACTTCCAATGATAGGCCATCCAATGGGTCCGTCTATCTTAGACCCATAATAATAGAGCCAGCGTCTCCTCCAGTTGTATTTTATAATAAAATACAAAATTATAATTAATAAAACCCATATCAAGGCAGGCGTGATGTTAAGGTTTTTGTGGTTCATATTTTGGATTTACTAAAACAGTGCTAATTTTGTTAGTTGTATTTATACACTTAATGTTGTGACAAAAAAGGAAAAAATTGGGAAAACTAATTAAAAAAAAACAATTATTTTATGTTAGTTTACTTATTAAATTGCTTATGCTAATAGTGCACTTGTTGACCTTAGAATAAATTTGAAACAGGTTCGTTTTTGGTAACAAGTTTTTAATAACACAGGCCGACATCAGAGAGGTGTTTTTGTTGCGAATAATTAGATTCGTTTGGGAAATTAATTAGGAAAATAAAAATAACATTAAACTTATAGTTTTCTTTGTTTGATTTTCATACGTCTAGGAATCAGCGATTAGATCAGTTTTTAGTTTTTAAGATTAGTCTGGTTGAAGAATTTATATAACATTGTCGCTCGTTGTAAATTCGCTACAAATAAAGCTTTTTAGTAACTAAATTTCACAACTTCATTTCAAAACCTCAACAGTTTTAATTTTAAAAGCTGTTTCTTTTTATTTCATGTGTCCTGAATTCAGAAGTATCCGCGTTTTCTTATTACACATAAATTCTTAAGATTAAATCAAATAGTTAGCTAAAATTAATTTTTTCAAACATTTTCAAAGAAAATATCAATTTCAAATATTTATACTTACTACATTTATTTCGAGTGATATCTTTTACGTTTGTCCAAAAAGTTGAAAGTAATTTTTTATGGATTGATTTTTACACTTATTGAAGACATTTTCAAAATGAATATTTTTCAAACATAAAACACTAATACAGTCCAATAATTACCCAAATACAAATGTTAACTCTTCATTAATATAAACCCTTCAATCTCAATCAATATAAATACAGTGAAATTTCTTATAAGCGGACACCGACAATAACATTCTTTTTATACGGTTAATCGAGGTGTTTAAATTTAAAAGAAATAATAAAGTGTACATAAACACAAAATAAAAAATATACAGGGTGTTCCGTTTTTATTGTTACATATTTAAACAGGTGATAGAACATTCAATTTTAAAACAAAAGTTTCCTATGAACATGTATCAAAAAATGTTATGTAAGCGAGCTATACCCCCTAAAAGAGATGTGTTTTTTAATGGGGTTTTCCCACTATTGTAGAATAGATAAAATTACAAAAGTTGGTACGGCTGATAACTTTTAAACACCTGAACGAATTCAAAGATCAATTGTCGAAATTTTTAAACACGGGCGTCTTAAAAGGTAAAACAAATTTAATTTTTCATTTTTATCCTCTTTATGGACTGTAAGACAAAGTGTAAACTAATTTTACTCAAAAACGGTAAGTTGTATCGAAAAAACGCAAGAGACCTATTTTTTGTGAAAATCTATGAAATTTAGAATTGTGTGGCTGAAAGTGGCAAGAACCAACAGACAAAATAGTTAGAGACCTTTTTACCCTAAACTCCCCCAATTTAACACGCCCCTGAGTGAAAATTTCGACATTGTATCTTTGAATTCGTTCGTTGTACCAAATTTTGCAATTTTATCTACAATGGTTTCTGAAATATTGGAAGAAATCTATTAAAAGTTGCATCCCTTTCAGGGAATGTAGCTCCCTTATATAAACTTTTTCGATACATGTTTATAGGAAACTTTTATCTTAAAATTAAATATTCTATCACCTGGTTAAATTTGTAACAATTAAAACGGAACACTCTGTATATATTAAAAAGGTAATTACATAGATAGTATTTAATACAATAGGACTTATCAGTTATTTTTTTTTGATGAAAAATTTAAATAATGTAGTTTGTTTCTTGAAACAAACATATCTATAATTAAAACTTCATTATTCTGGCTGAAAAGAAAAGTTTATTTTTCTCTTGATTTTAGACTTATTTTATGGAATTATTTTTCTCAGAATTAACTTCCATCACATTGGCGGTTTTACTTTTTTGATAACGATGCCACTTTGACAAATGAGTTTACGCAAGTTAAATAACAGAAATATTTCTGAAAAACATAATTTTATCAAATGTCAATTCTAAAAAACAGCTTTAAGATAAAAAAAAATACAGTGATTTTTAATAAGAACAATTATTATTCAAATAATTAATTAATTTTCAAAG